AGTATGTTGAACCAGATTTTCCTGGGCACTTAATAGTCACATGCTTTCCGTCTATGCTTCCCACACAATTCGGAAATTGCCAACGATTATAGAAACATGCTGCTGATTGTGCCCATATCTCCTCCGAAGGTTCGGGCAAGTACAGAGGTTGCAATCGCTTTATGATAGCATTGCTAACTTCTTCAATGATGGCGCCTACAGTTGAAAATCCAACTCTGAAACTATGTCCAATAGTTTTGTGCGAATCTCCAGTGGCCAAAAACCTGAAAGAAACATACACATATGTAAACCCACAGTAATATATATAAACACAGTAAATATTTTAAATACGTTTTAGTTTAGAAACATATTTTGAGGAACCCATAGCGTTTTATTGTGTAATAAAAGTTATAAAGGGTGTTTCGAAAGTTGACGGCCAAACATAAAAATAAGTTTTTGTTGTTCCAAATAAATAAAAATGTTTCCTCCAACAATTGAAAAGTGTTGAAGACAATGTGTTTACCAATTAAAAAGAAAAACCTTATTTTTAAAGTAGACTAATATGCATATACCAATTTATTTTCTTGAATATAAATTGATAGTAAAACACTTAATTTATCACATACATTGGTAATTTTTACTTGCGTTGTTTCTAAAACTAATAATTTATTTTCAGGTGAACAGTTGAAGAAGAAATGGAGAAATCTTCGAGACTCCTACATGAAACATCTCAAATCCATCAAGCCTACCACTGGTCAGGCCAAGAGGAACTATGTGGCGTGGCCTTGGTCCTCTCAGATGGAGAGATTCAAGCCTTTTCTTGGAATGGCCAAAACTGTCTCAAATATAAGTGCTACTGAAACTCAAGGTACAGATGTAAACAATGAGGTAGTTTTTGAACCTGATGTGGGCAATAACAACCACGACCATATTTCAGGCGATGGTCAATCTCCTGTACGTGAGCCAATTGAAATTAACAGGCCTGATAATGTAGATCTTGCCTCCGAACCCCGTATAAAAAAAAGGAAAACCCAGTCCCCTGGCAACAGCAACAACGTTGACAAAGTGGTACAATATCTAGAGGGGAAAAATAAAATCCAACTTGATGCGACTGACCATTTGATGCTGGGTTATTCCAAAACAATCAAGACTTTCTCGCGCGCAAGACAGGCTCAGATTAAACTACAGATTGCTCAGATAATCAATCTTGGTGAACTGGAGCAATTACGTGAAGAAGATCTTTCAACATCATGTAGCTCTTCAGTAGGAACTCGGCGTGACTTCGATCCAACTTATCTAAATGATGAAGAGCTCGAAGAACAAAGATTCCGTGTTTACAATTGTTTTGGAAATGTTTAACTTCATAAGTACTAACTCTTGTGTTTATAGTTTTCCTTTGTACATGAAAATTTAATTCTTTGGCATATTGGACAGTTACAATGTTAGACCTACTGAATAATTGCAGAATACATTTTTATTTTAAGTATAACATTATCTTGATGTGACAAAATACTGTTTTTATTGTCCCTAACATAAAATTAGTGTTTGCTTTTTGATTTTACTTTGTATTAGAAGTAATTTTGCCTCGAATTTAAAACTTTAATATTTGTAAACAATTACATAACAGTTTACTGGACTGTAAGATTTTCGGTACCATGTAAAGTGCTAGGCAGTTATTCCTTCTATTAAAGTTATCCGGAAGGGGGGGAAACTTTAAACCTATATATAAAAAATATATTTAAAGAACCTGAAAAAGAAATCAATTTTTATAAAGAAAAATGGGCTGGCGGAGGGGGAAAATGCTAAATATAAGTACAGGTTCAAAGACTCCCCAACTTAGCTGCCGACTACTCTACAAAGATAATTAGTAACTGTAGATCTTACCTTAAAGTAATTGCTAGTCGTTCCTCGGCACTAAGTGCTTCACGGTAGTTGGTATTTTCTTTTTCAATAAGGTCAACAATCAAACTGAGTAATTCATCAAATCATTCTTGAGTCATTCTAAAATAGATGTAGAACCTTTTAGCATCATTTCTCAATTGGGGCATGAGAGTGTGGTACTCTCCAAATGCTAGCCTTCCTTTATTTACGTCATGCACCCAAAGTTTTTTCGCCTGTTCGTCTTCTAATACAGCAAGCAAAAGTAGGGCTTCTTCTTCATCAGACGATGACATGGTAAGTAAATAAAATAAAAACTAATTACAATATTTCACAAAACTTGACTCGAATCACTGGACTACACACCTTGGCATGGTCACTCACTGCGGTGTACTGGCTCCCGCTTCCCGTCTGGTAGCCGCACCTGTGTGGAAGCACGAGTTCCCGCCACGATCTTCCCGCGCAAAAATCGCATCTAAAATTCCAGGAACTGAACCGTTACCGCTCCCGCTCCCGTTCCCGCGCCGGTGTGTACGGGCCTTTAGCCTGAAACATAAGTTATTCAACAACAAACAGACAATTGGAAGTTCCTTAGTCTGCAGGCTTGCTGAGGCTGGGGTGTTTAGTTTCATGTTTAACGTGACTTCTGAGATTGTATTAACCTATGTATAACCATTAATGTGGTTAAGTGTGTTATGTACGTCCCAGAATTCAAAGTAATTTTAATCATCGTGCACTTAAGGATTTTATACAAACACTCGGTGGTTCGAAACCCATCTGAAACCTTACTCATTGAGAAGAACTTTCTCTGCATTTCAGACCTCACCTCGTTGCGAGTTTTCCCTCCATAGTAAAAACGGGACATTGCCACAACCCGGTAATATCAGGGGATGACCATTGCAATAACCGGAACCCTTTGTAATGGCCCTTGTTATAGCAGCTCTGTCCGCAGTTCTTACCAGCTTTTTGATCATTACATACGACGATTTCGCTTCCAATTGCATTTTGTTTCATCCGTTCCGATTACCTTACACCTGTTTATCTAGGGTTAACTTTTTGTTTTAGTGTATTTTGGCTAAAATATGTAATTTTTTTACCTAACCCGCCATGTTAAACTTTCCTATCGCAAGCGTGATGTATACAACTTATTTACTTCTCGAGTGATGTAAAGTTGAATAAAACTCACTCGGTGAGGTAATGAAACCCATTTAAATAACATTGAGTGCTTAACTTAAAAAATATACCTCTATAGAGCCAACGACCTTCAACGCTAGAAATCAGCTGTGCGCTTGAATTTTATTGTTATGTTTTGAAGAATTTTCCTAACCTAGCTTTTGTTTTTAAATGCATGGTACTGTTAGAAGATGAGTGAAATGGATAATGAAAAATATTGTTCGTAATCTGCTGTATATTGTCGGGTCAGGTAAAATCTTGTACGTTACACGTTACGCAAGAGCGTGTTTACATCACTCGCTTCCGCTCGTTGCACAACATTCACCTGCGTGATGTAAAAACGCTCTTACTACACTTGTAAGGTAAATAGCTATTAGTTTTTACAATTGAATAAATTAATGGCTGACAGTTAATATTGCTATTTTAAAGATGTGTTTCCACTTTAGTCTTTCTTGATTATTTTACTATGAGTAATTTAATGGCTATTAGCTTAATGTATAAAGTTTAGAATGTTTTTTGACTTGTTCTTTTTAATTAAATCTGAATCATTGTACAATTTAATGTGATTGTGTGTAGGAGTGTTTTCTCCCCAGATAAAGTTTGTTTTTTGTATTGAAACAGGAATTGATTAACTACACTATTCTATAACAATTCTTAATTTGATTGCATCACAGACACAATCTTGTATCACACAGGAAAATACGTCTATTTTGTTCTTGATTAATAATACTACTGTATCACACCAATGCTTTACAGATGGATCAATTGAAGTCTGTATGGTAATTTGATCAATCTAAAACAGTAAATTCAAGATTCTATTCGCATTTCGATTCCATTTTGTGGCACTGTTAAAAGCAATAGTTTTATCTTTTCCTCCTTATTATCTTAGCTCAAATATTAAAAACTCTATCTCATCTTTAATAATTTACATTCTGATTGTTGTATCTACATTATTGGATGCTACATTATTGGATTTGTGTACACATGTCGGTATATAAAATAGTGTATACTTTGTAGATATGTCAGTTCTTCGGCCTATGAACCTTGGATAGATAATTTTTTAAAGCTACTAGGATGAAAATTTTTAGATAATGTAATGTTTACGCCCGCAATGCTAAGTAATCCACGACAAGGGGAAAATGTGCTTACAACTTAATTTTAACAAATGTTCTTCATGATTTATTTCAACTTGCTTCGAACTTCTGGAACTTTGGTGAAGCCCCCACGTCTGATTATGAACACGGAAAGACTTTTTTTTGAATACTTGAAACCCCGTTTTGTTAATTTGGTACAAATGTTTTTGATTGTTCACAGACAGAACTAACATTTACACACTTTTTTATATATCATACTATAGAATAGATATAGAAATTTATATATTTTTTAAACTTATTACAGCTGTATCTACTGCTGTTAACATGCAAAATGTACAGCTCATGTGTTTTAAACGTTTTTACCTACGACCGTTAAAAAAAAACCGTTTCAGTACAGTTCTTAGAATTGAAATGTATCTCATAACAGCATATTTTTACTCATAACAACACTGGTAACGGAATAAGGTTCAAGGATTGAGAGAGGAGAAGCAAAATTTTAATGATTCGAAATTAAACTAATCAGCTGTTTGGGCCAATTTAATTGTTGATAGGTGCAATTAGTATTGGATACAATGTTTTGTTGCATCACTGTCAGTGGCAATTATGGGTTATAAACAAAAACATAACCTCTCTTAGAAGTTATGAGTAGTGATTTTTAGTAATTAAAATACCATCGTAGGTAAATTAGTGTACGCAACTCGCGTAAATAGTGGTAATGACACTCGTAGAGGTTTTTAAGGCTCGTACCTTAAAATTTCTACTCGTGTCGTTAACACTATCTTTACGCAATCGTTGCGTAAACTACTATAATCTCCTCTTTTGAATGATGTGAAGAAGTTACTTTTGCCTAGTATTAAGCGTTAACTTCACTTGCAGGTGTTCTATTCAATCGGAGCTAGAAACCAATGGTAGAAGGTATGTATCAACTCCTTCTGGTTGCTACACATTCTGTGTGCCACACAGGGTGTCCCGAAATATTTTACACTTTGTATCCCGGAGTAAATTATAGATAAATTTACCATATTGTAAATTTTGTTAGTTAAAACACTTGCGAATGGGTATTTTTTTTTTAGTTTTGATGTTACAACAACAAAATTTAAAAAGCCTGTAATTGTCAATATCTAAAATATTAGTTTACGGCACTTTATAAGTCATACCAAATTAAAACAGCGTTCAGATAATAGTTATTTGTGTAACTAGTGGTGAAAGTGGCACTTTGCTGCACACGAGAGCAATGTTTACGCACGAGCCGCAGGCGAGTGTGGAATGATCTCGAGTGCAGCAAAGGCCTTTTTCACTCGTGTTACACATTATATTTTTCCTACAGTCACTATAAAGCATATAAATAATTAGTCTTTCAAACACTATGCAACACGTTTTTAGGTTCAGCTGGCAACACAAATGGTGCCCTAGAGAAAGTAGTACCCGCGGTCCGTATCACTCCACTATTTTTCCTCGGCAAGAAATGTGCTCCGCGTTTTGAGAATATAGTTCCGTATGTTTTTGTAATTTGAAGTGGTTTCCGCGCCTAAAAAAATGCTTAAAAGGTATTTTCTTGTTTATTAAGATCGTAGGAAGGTTTTAAAAACGTTTAAAAGAAAAGTCCAGAAAGTTCAGAAATACCGAAACTATAAACACGAAATGACAGGTTAAATCGTAGTTATAATAGTCAATCAGCTACTCATAGTATAATTATCTTTAAGTGTTGCCAACCTATTTCCAAGCGTACACGGATTACGTGCATAATGGAACCACGCTGTTTTGTGTTGTTTCGTTGGAATCCTGATGTGCGGCAAAGTATAAACCGTACGGCAAAGTATAAACCGTACGGCAAAGTATAAATATGCAGCAATTAGCAGCTTTCTGTACTATAAACAGTACAAGGAAGCCAACTTTGTCGGGTGACTGTAGGAAAATATCAATTTGTGCGTAGTATTATTTTAACTTCGAATTTGGCATATCGTCTTAGGAAATTTTAATAACAGAAATGAACAGATTTCTCAATTTTCTAATTGTAGTGTTTTAAAATAGTTGTGGAACTCAACAGAAGAATAATCAAATTCCTTTATAAAAAAACAAAGCGTAGTAACATTTTATCTTAGATACATGAAATCATTCACAGATTCGCAATTTCAGTTTTTGCGATTTTGCCCACGCCTAGATTCTTTTGTGTCGGGTGGCAAAATTCATATAACTTAATCACATGTCAGTGCATGCAACATCTGAATCGATTAAAAGTTTGATTCGGAATACAGTAGCTCCAGATATACATCAAATTGGTCAACTTTGAGCCGTATGTTCTGAAGTATGTCCCGTTCTGATTCTCCCCCCATATCCCCATACCGCCATATTATATCTTACATTTCTTACGTAACCGTACGAGACACGTTCTGAACTAAAACATGCGTTTTTAATAAAACGAAAATGCATTTTTAGTTTTAACAAGTTTGTTCTCCCAAAACTAACCGTACATTGGCGAAAAACATCAATAAATATTAATAGGGATGCCAAAGTCCGAGTTTATGGTTAAAATTACAAAATTAATGATCGTGCAGAATTCTTATGTAAAGAGTATTGCATGATTAAATCAGTGTAGCCTACATTTTACAGAAGGTTGGGACTACACATTTTGGAAGTTCACTGATAAAATTAAATGAAAATAATGTTATTTTATTTTATACTGTCTTATACACTTTATTTACGTTTCTCGCAATATGCATGCATTTTCATTATTTTAGCATTGCATTTGTTTTCTGGAAAGTTTATTATGATTATGTTAGCCCATGTCTGTATCAGTCTGTCAGATTTCTCTGCAAATGTTTAAAGACAATAGATTTTTCGATGTTTTCTTTTACACAACAACTTTTACTATTACCTGGAAAAATATTTTTCCTCTTTTCAATATTATAAGAAGTTTTGTCTGACTCCTAATTTTATTTTCATTCCCCTGTGCAAGAAAATATATCACTGAATACGCGAAATTTTTATGTTTAAAAACCAGTTATTCGAAGAATTTCAGTTAAATTATTTCTTGAAACTTTTACCTGATTTTTGTTACTATATCAAAATTGTTTTAGTATATTCAAATTAATCATTTTAGGTTTCAATTTAAGGAAGAAGACTTTAAACTTGGAAAATGAGTCGTGGATTTTTTTTAAAATCATTTGCATGGTAAATTACTAAACAGATGCACACCAATATACATTCAATCCTGGATTTAACATAGGAAATCTATAGTTTATTTGTAGCCTTAAAATAACTCTATCGTGAATCAAGTCATATGTAAATTTATTCATTGACCTTTGTTTCTACTTTCCGTTTTGATAAGATGAATGTACGATAAAAATTGTCAGTGTAAGGATTTTTCTCTTTCAGTATGAAGATTCAAATCGAGGTATGTTTCGTAGTCGCCGTTCCCTCGAAATACAAATTGGCCGGTTCAACAGAACGCAGCCATAACAATACCATAACCAGCGGTTGATAATGGTCCAATTTTCCATAACAGCGGCGCTCGCTTCTCGTGTGATTGTAGTGATTAGAGGCTGTAATGCCAGATGCACGATAATTATCGTACCCGTACGATTATTTTTCAGTTTCATAATGGAAAATAATCGTATGCGATCGGTCTGTAATTCCGATCGCTGCGTTATCCGCAGCGATTACAATTATCGCTGGAATTTTAACTAAGGTTGCGTTTTATTTCTTGTGTGAAAATTGGATAAACTTTAAAAAAATATTGCGGCAATAGGAAGAGTGAATTGTAGTTGCGAAAAATAATGAACACTTATGTTGATTTGGTTATTATCAAACTATGTGGAAATAATTTTACCATTAAATTAACAATTTCTTTTGTTATGGCATCAACGATAATTACTGGAAAATCATTTTGTGTTAAAGTAAACTATTATTTGTATCATAACGATGGGCTAGCTCGTTTATTTTTACCACGATTACTTGAACAGAACCGTATTTTTTTTGTCCTAAGGACGCTAGGCACGAGCCCGGGATTGTTTTTCACATTACTTCAGGCTAGACCTAGGGGTTGCGGCATTATCACTTAGATAAAATCCATTGGTGACTTGGCGGGGATCGAACCCGGGACCTCAGGGACTGAAGTCCCGCGGTCTAACCACTACGCCAGCTCGCTCCCCGAACAGAACCGTATGGATCATAAATATAAACAAATGAAGTGGCTGGCCCGAAAATAAACATTATTTAACATTACTTAAATGGAATATTGTCGAAAAAATAATATGTTAAGGCTTGTTTTTGTTTATGGTCCATTATACTGGTTCTGTTAAAGTATTCGTGATGTTTACCAACCTATTATTTTAATTTACGTTACTGGACTTTCTGTTCAAAGCTGAAAGTTTTTAAATCTTCTTAAATAAAAAATTCTCTTGGTACTGTAATGGATAACTTAGCTGAAGAAAAAAGTAAGTAATGACAGAATGTAATTCCTACTCATTTGTTGCATTATTTAACCAGAATTTTCACTACAGTTCCTTTGAAAATTAATATTTTCTAATGTAAATAACATCTACGTATCCAGACAAAATTACTTATAATCTATCTACAAAATCCATCATGCAATATCGATACAAATTGATAATTCTAAAAATATACATAACTTCAAAGAAGGCTATATTGTTAACAAGATGTCATAGGACAATTTTTACAGTAATCAATTTAACGTGTACTGAACAGTTTTTTTTGTGCCTTGAGAACGCTTGAGAATAATTGGGTACACAAGCTCGGCTCGCATTTTCTTTGCCAGAGAGAAGTCGGTGACGGTTTAAGAGTTATCACCGCCAGCTAATAGAAAACACGTGGTTATCTGTTCACAACACGACGCCTCTGTCGCCGCGACGCGGGATAAATCCTTGCTGTAGCAGAGTAATGTGCGAGTATTGTGGGGTGAGGGGAGGGGGGTGTCGGTGATCCGTTAAAACATGGAGGTAAAGGTTGTTTCTGTATAAGTTGTTAGTAGCGGATTGACGAATTTGTTTGAAAGTCGAATTATAGATTTTCAAATGTAGTGTACTGGGGATTTTGTGATAGCTTGAACGGATAAAATTCTCGTTGGGAGGTTACTAGCTGTTTTTAGTAGGGAGGGATTGACACACTTTTATTTCCATTTTTTTTTAGGTTGGTGACCTCTTTCAATCTTTCATTTTTCATAAAGGTCTATATGCGTGGAAAGCAAGAGGTGGGCGGGTACTTAACTGATAGAAAGTAGTGGAAGGTACCGGGATACCGACTCCCCACTTTGTGTTCAACGCCTTGCGATATTTTACGTTGTCTATTACTATCCAACATCGACCTTTTTTAGATAACGTAGGAAATTTCTAGAATATAAAAATAAACATGGACGTGTCATCCAGTGACCTCCAGATTGGAAGGCGATCATTATAACTACGGGTACATCTACATTCGACAATTACGTTTTTCAAACATGATATTAACACGTCCAAATTCAGTTCTCGTAGAGAAATGTCTTTGTCGTTCCATTCCAAAATTCGCAATGGTTTAATCAGGGAACATCTTTCTCGTCTGGTCTAAAAGTTACTGGCTGAGTCTGCTGACTAGAGGAAGAGGAAGAGGTATGGAGGAAGACATGTATCTCCTAGCCAATGTCATGTTCCTTAACTTATGTTGAGGCAGCCTTTTAAAGTTGGTTTGAGTGGACTCAAAGTAGTTAAGCGATTATGTGAAGATACGAGATTTCCATGCCACAATTCGCAATGGTTTTGTGGGAGAACATCTCTCTCGTCTGGAGGTTACTCGCTAGGAGTAGGAGATAGTGAGAGGGAGACACACATGAAGGCAGCGGGTAGCGGGGGTGACCTGTAGGAACGAGAGCGGATCGTGGGAACGTGGACGGTCACGACGCACCGCAGCGCCGCGGCAGCCTC